CCCCCCCCCCCCCCCCCCCAGGGACTCTAAGAGGGCTGGGTACTCTGAACTGCCACTCGGCGCATAACCGCAGATGACAGTCAGGACCCGTTCCCCGACCCTAAGGCGCAGGGAACAAACCCTCTCGTCCACCGGGGAAAACCCCAACGTACCGGCAGCAAGCCGAGGGGATATTAGAATACCCACCCCAGCCCGCCGCCTCTCACCAGGGGCAACTCCAGACTGAGACAGAGTCCAGTCCCTCTCCAGGAGACTGGTTCCAGAGCCCAAGCCATGCCCAAGCCCCTGGGATCCCTGGGACACACAAACCCCTCCACCACGATAAGGTAGCGATTCAAGGAGGAGCAGCTTAATATTTAATATTTTAAATTGTTAACCTAAAAAATTGTTTTGTAATTGCTGTAATTAATTACATAACACTTTGTGTTTGTGGAGTCTTTCATAAACTGTTCATGTTGCGTCTCAGTGCACAGAGCGTCCCAATGCTGTGGAAGATGTCATGCCTTTTCCCTGTATCAAAGCTGACAGCGATGCAGCTCGATGCTTCTCTGGTGTCCTGGATTGTTCATTACCTGACAGGAAGACCACAATATGTGTGTCTTCCACATTGTGTGTCTGACAAGGTAATCGGCAACACAGGGGGCACCACAAGGGACCGTCATCTCCCCCTTCCTCTTCACCCTCTACACCACAGACTTCAGACACTGCACATGGACCTGCCATCTTCAGAAGTTTTCTGATGGCTCTGCGGTGTTTGGAAGCATCAGCAAGGGTGATGAAACAGAGTACCGGGCTGTGGTTGACTTCTTTGTCACGTGGTGCAAGCATAATCAACGTGGCAAAGACCAAGGAATTGATTGTGGACTTCAGGAAGACCAGGAAAACCTTGACCCCTGTTTGAATCCAAGGGGTCAACGTGGACATTGTGGAGGACTATAAATACCTTGAAGTATACCTAGATAATAAACTGGACTAGGTTAAACACCTTTGCAATTTACAGGAAGGGCCAGAGTCATCTCTATTTTCTGAGGCGTCCTTCAACATCTGCTGGACAATGCTCAGGATTTTCTGAGTCTCTTGTGGCCAGTGCTATCCTGTTTTCTCTTGCATGCTGGGGCAGCAGGTTAAGGGTTGCAGATGCCAACAGACTCAATAAACTGATCTGCAAGGCCAGTAATGTTGTGGGGATGGAACTGGAGAGGCGGATGTTGTCCAAGATAAAGACAATGTTGGATAATACCTCCCACCCACACCATGATATGCTGGCCAGTCATAGGAGCACATTCAGTGAGAGACTGAGATTACCAAAAAGCACCACTGAACGACACAGGAAATCATTCCTGCCCATGGCCATCTCCCTGTACAACTCCTCCATCTAATTCATTGTACAGTATATACTGTAAACATTGCAATAGCTACACCCTTTTTGCACACGCTCCTTATACTCAGTAATGCTGCTGTCAATATTCTTGATACTTATTTATAATCACCTCTGTCAACCCTTGATATTCATTTTTAAGTTATTTGTGTATATATTGTTCTATTTCTTAATTCTGTAAATCTGTAACATATTGTATTGTTAAATAGTCTAGTCTGTTACTGTTACTGTACTGGAGCAACTGCAGCCCACATAATTTCCTTAGGGGATTTTTAAAGGATTCTGATTCTGATTGATTCTGATGAAGTCCTTTGAAAAGATAATTAAGAAGGAGATTTTAATCACCTTGACACATTCCAGTTCGCACATAGGGCAGGAAGAGGTGTGGAGGATGCTGTTGTCACATTTCTTGTATAAGCATGTTGAGGGCCCGAACACTCATGCAAGATTATTATTTGCTGACTTTTCGTCTGCATTCAACACAGTTCAGCCCTTCTTACTTGCTGATAGGCTTTACAAGTATTTTAAGCTTCACTCTCTTCTGATCAGTTGGGTGCTAGACTTTCTAACCAATAGGTCAAAATGTGTGAAGGTGAACAGTGTACTTTCTGATGCGCTCTCCTTTTCTACTGCACCTCCCGAGGGTTGCTGTCTCTCACCCCTTCTGTTCATTCTGTATATAAATGAGTCTCGCAGTAATTTCACTAAAAGACACCTCCTGAAGTTTGCTGATGACAGAGCGGCTGTATCCCAATTCAGGGTGTAAAAGGGTTTTTAACATGTTTTCAAATGATTTATGCCTGCATTCTCCTTTTAAGCTGAACTCGAAGTACTCTCATACTGAAGTTATTTTCTACTCGCTTTACTGACCCATCCGTTAACCAGCTGCACAGGAAACAGACAGCCACAAGCTTCTCTGTCTCCACAAACTATATTTGCTTTGAGGAAGTAAAACATACTGACCTGCTGACACACCAGCAGTGCCCTGAATAACAGGAAATGCTATGTGACTTGTACCCTTTAAATAAAGCGCTTGACTGCAGCTCGGGTGTGAGGCACTTCCGTGTCTTTGCCCGTGCTGCACGTAAACTCTACTCCGTTGTGACAGTGTCTTCATTCTCTTATTTTGTGTTGATAAATGTTAACCTTTAACACAGGGTCTGCATCATTCAAGGTGGCATTATAAGGTCGATTACATCACAGTGACACGATGAAGGCTGTCACAATTGGAAGGCTGCTCCAAATGCGTCCTTCATTTCCCCGAATTTGAAGGATGGTCTGGTGTAGACTTCATGGCCAAACCTTTCCCAGAATTCATAGCGTGGGGGTGGGTGTGGATAATTTTGCAGACAAAAACAGCGGATGGCTGAAGAATAAACTGTTAAAAGTAAGTACTGAATATTATGTCACTTATTTATGTGGGAATGTTTAATAACGAAGAACGTTAAAACATTACTGTTGCCCACATGTCGGCAGAGTTATGTGACATTAGTGATGTTTGTACTTTCAGCGTTAACTTGGTTTTAAAGCCTTTACTTTAATATACACGGCGTTCAATAGTTGACCTTAATCTTACAGAGAATGTGATGATTTTATGGATAATTAAAGTCAGTCATATATCCACAAACACAACAAGCTGAAAGTCAGTGATGCTGCTCGGTTTGCAGTCCTGAATATCACGGCACAAGCAGGATCCACTGCACTGTTAATGTTAGCTGTGTTATATTGCTGCCTCTGTCCGGTGGTGTCGAGCCAAACTGACTTTAACGTGTGTTTGAACGAGCTGATGGTTCACTCGTTAAGCTGAAAGAAAGATGCTTTAATCACAGGAGTCACACATGTGTCCACTGTACCATCTGGGAACTCTTCTTGTTTAGCGCTCATAATAACACAAATACTAAATCCTCCTTCTCTTGTGCTGTTTTGTAGCAGTGTGTACACCTGAGACTGTCACCTGTCTGTCTGTCCTGCACTCTCTCTCTTTTTCTTACTCTGATTGTGTAATAAAAGTATGAACATGTATTAATAAGTTACACTTGTGTTTGAATCCTGCAGTTTCCATGCATGAGTTTTCATATGCTTGTATAAATGTGTTTCATCTTCAGCCTGATCACACAGAACCACTTCCTGTCTCTGAGTGCTCTGTGTGTGTGTGTTGTCATGGTTATGGAGCACGCTAGCTTATCTGGTGCTGCTGAGTCACGTGACTTAGGAGAAGCGGAGCAAACTGCCTGCTCTGGGCTGTGATACTTTAAAGTAGCAGCACTCGCACAGACAGGTTTCCTCTTTGATGAAGCCTCAGCAGTGCACACAGGAGACAAACTAAAGTACTGATCACAGTACACTCGTACTGATCAATACCAGTTCAACATCAGGTACCAATATCCACCATATTTAGATTGCTCCGCCCCCAGGCCCTCCAAGACCATGGACAGGCCACACCTGTCCATGGTCCTGCGTGGCCATGGACAGGTGTGTTTGTGGGACCCTGCAGAGTTTAGGAGAGTGAAGAACTGGTTTACACAGAAGCGCTGGACTCGTCCCTGCATGACGTAATTTAAAGTACAGCTTTGTGTTAGGAGGATCAAAGTCTCAGAGCTCATCATCGCTACATCATCATCATCATCATCATCATCATCATTATTATTGTTATTATTATTATTATAAATATGTATGTTTATTCCGACACAGAGCTCAAAGAGATTTTAGAAACAGTCAGATTTGAGTCTGAACATACAGTGGGGCAAAAAAGTATTTAGTCAGTGTTAGGGAGTTTTTATTGCTTTATTTGCTTATGCTTCAAAAGTTATGTTATACATATTTCACCAGACACAGTTTTCTGTAGAAACAGGAAGCTGACCCTGTGACACTGACAAGAGACCAGTACAGAAATACATATCCGCAGAAGCTGACTTGCATTATATTATTCTTAGAAATTGACTTGCAACACACATACTTTGTGACACACACACACAGCTTACACACACAGCTAACGCACAGACAGCATCAGGACCTGCGTAGCAGGAAATGTGATTATATTTGCATATTGACGATGTAACCTATAAAAATAAACGAATACTGCAGTTCGGTGTGATTTGCTCTGAGCTTTTCACCCGTGCAGCACGTTAACCTACACAAGTGTCTCATTGTTGTTTATTCACCTGACTGTTTGTTAACTGTAAATCTCTGACATTTAATTGGTCCTTCGAAGCCGTTAATGGACTGGTATTAATGATAATATTATGCTCCATTTCACAGTGGTATCCTTCCTCAAGTCCCGACGCCGTGACAAGCCTGCGTCGAAGTCTCTGCAGAGCGCCCTCTAGGAAGGGTTGAAAGTCCAGGGACGCTAAATTCGGGTCCTGGCCGACGTCATACAGGCCCACGGCGCTGGGGCTTGAAAAAAGGACGCCCGACAGACCGGCAACAGCGAAGCCAGGTGATTATTCCACATTTGACACACCTTGCGTAAAACGATCGGCTGGGACAGTCTGTCTGCTCTAAGTATATTAAATAGGAAGTGACCTATTCGCTAACATAAGTCTATAGAAAGACTGACTATCCGCTCACCTGAAAGAGGTTGGTAGCCTGATAGAATTAGTTGTCCGCTCGCCTGAAATAGTGGCTGGAAGCCCGACAAGTTGTCCGCTCGCCTGAAATAGTGGCTGGAAGCCCGACAAGTTACCCGCTCGCCTGAAAAAGGGCTGGAAGCCGTGTAACGGTTAGCAGTACGCCTGAAAGACGGCTAGTGGTAGATACTAAAGAGAGATTCAGACTGTCCAGCATAAATCTTGCGCGCATAAACTGTTTTTACTGTTTTGTTGGTGGGGTAAGTTGATTTGACAGCACATTAAGGTGGCTGAACTACTCCACTGAATTGTTTACCGTTGATAGCTCACGTACTGGCTGAATGAGAAATTAAGTTGTGCGTCATCACGTAAAATCGACAACCGCTTTCAAGAATAGCTGAAAGTAGAAGCCTGTTGTTGATAACTTATCTCATTCTTCGTGCCAGTGACAGCTTCACGGGTCTGTCTGTATATTTAACTCAATTAAATACCTTGTAAACAAATCTTCTACAAAACGAAACTAAATGGGTAGTAACGAAACTAAACTCACGGCAGATGAACAGTGGTTAGACAGTAGCTATTTTAAGAGGAACCTTACAAACAGAACTAAACAATGAAATATAGTTGGCATGACAATCATGCCCAGATTGTATAAAATAAATAAAAGGAAATCATTCACATGAAAACCTTTTCTATAAAAAAGAGAGATGCATAAGGTAGATTAAGGCTGTCTCGTTGTTCAGCCAAGGAAAGTGTGTGTAAAGGTAAATGTCTCCAGCCTGGATGACGGGTGGGACTGCAGCCCACCCAGAGCCCTTGATGGATACAAAATAAAATATAAAAATAAAAATAATAATAAATTACTTGGTTCGACATGCAACAGAGAGAATGAATGTGACTGAAGATTGGATCTGAGATGAGGCAAACAGAAGACCAGTCTAAAAAAAGTAGGCACAAACCTGTTCAGAGAAAAAACAATTTGTACAGATTGGATGAATTCTAAATTATCTGTTTGCTGAGTAAGTTGATCCTAACTATTAAATTGGCTCAGTAGTAGTATAGTGATATACACTGATAAAATGTTGTAATATACTGTTGTTATTATATAGAAAGAAAAAGATGATGATATTAATAAAAATATAATATTAATGACAAGAAGTAGCCTAGTCAGTATGATGTGAGATGGATAATTGTTATGAAGTAGTCTGCATCAAGCTTAAGGTTTGCTCGAACTCAGTATAATGACATATGAGATGAAGAAATAAAGGCAATATCTAAACCAATTAGGTGCATAGAGGCACTTAACCTGCTTGAACATCTGTCATTTATCCTAGATAAATATTACTGAGATGTAGAGCACATTTATAATGATAATTAATAAGCCAAACCCTGTAGATAATAGCTAAAGCTACAAGGTTGAGAAGCTGATTTAAATATGTGGACACTACTAAGCTAATGAGCGAGTTAAACATTTTTATTTATTTGTTTTAGAGCAGAAGCTGCATAGAGGACAGCACAGGGAGCTGTCTATCAATGAATAGAAAACACACATACACAAATTGTTACATGTGAAATTATTTTTGGAAAGAATCAGAAGTGAGATGGTTTTGAATTAAGAAATCAGTGAAAAGATGCATGAATTAAACCTGATAATAACATACAGAGGCAATGAAGGAAGCAGCTCACACTCACTGAACATTAACATGCATAGGAAAAGTAATGAAGACCTGCTTACACTTATACACATAACATGAGTTGGTATTTCTGACCAGAGAGAGGGAAACGGGTAGTTTAAGTACTCAGGATAATAATGAAAATGTCTTAGTTGTGTTTCTTTAGGAGCAAAACAGATTGTGCAAGTTCCCCCACTTAAAATGATGACAGAGGTCAGTAATTTGCACCAGAGGTACACTTCAACTGTGAGAGACAGAATGTGGGTGGAAAATAAGTATTTGGTCACCTCAAACATGGAAAATCTCTGGCTCTCACAGACCTGTAACGTCTTCTGTAAGACGCTTTTCTGTCCCCCTCTCGTTACCTGTATGAATGGCACCTGTTTGTCATTGTTGCTAACGACAACGCATAAAAACAGGCGCTTGTCCATCCGTAGTGTGGTTATATTAAATATAAGAGAAAGAGAGAACTTTAAGAAATTAATATAGCCACTACAGTGACCATCAAAACGATGAAAAAATATTGCTGTAAACAGTTTATTTTGCGACACCACGAAACAAACGATAGTGTAAAATGAAACGATAGACATTTTTATATCGTCATCCAATATATATCGTTATATCGAACAGCCCTACTTCAGAGGATGAAATAGGCAGGGGTCAACAGAATTTATGACAGGGTCTAAGGAGCTTGGAAAGAAAAGTGTCTGGAAGGTTTTGGGTGAGCTTGGGTTTAAATCTGGGACTCTCCAGCATTTGAACTGAAGAAGCTTCTCGGATGAGAGGTGAAACGTCTTCAAACGTCTTCAGCAAATCGTTTTCAAACCTGCCGCGGTCTTTCGCTACTCAGGTTAAACATACATAAGTCACTTAGATAAGTTAAAAATGTTATTGTTTGGCTTTTTTCAGTGTTTTATTTGTTCCTGAGTAAATCGGTTTGGCTGAGATTAAAGTTATAGTTTTTACACAGCTGAATAAACGTCAAGCAGACAGCTGATTATCAGAAGTGTGAGATGCTCGAGAATATACTCCGGTGTCCCGTTATAATTTAGATAGCAAGGAGTTTATTAAACTTCACCGAAACAATCTGCAAATTTCATTAAAATTTAATAAACTATCATCTTGTCTTTATTTTTAGTTAGCACATACTTTAAACACTTAAAGCTGTAAGCTAATGATAGTTATATAAGAGCAGATGCTGCTGGTGCAATAAGCTGTATGTTTTACGTCCAATGGATGCATGATCTGATTAGTCGACTAATCGCAAAAATAATCGGTGACTAGCCGACTATCAAAATAATCGTTTGTGGCAGCCCTAGATGGGTGTTGCAATTTCAGCTGTCCTACTGGCCAAATCTCTCTTTAAAAAATAAATGTTTAATGTGTAAATAAAAGACAGATATAAGACAACCTGCCAGAAATTGATTGAGGCTTTTACCTTGTGATGTTGTTAACATGTCAAAATGACTTGATATCATTCAGTCATTTTAAAAGCAGATGCTTATCTGTGCATTCATTTTCTTTTTTAAGTTTCTAGTTTGTTTCTTTTATATTTTTGTGTACCGTATTTTCCGCACTATAAGGCACACTTAAAATCCTTTAATTTTCTCAAAAATTGAAGATGGGCAGTAACGCGTTACTTGTAACTGTAATCCAATTACTTTTTTCAAGTAACAAGTAAGGGATTACTATTGCAAAAAGAGTAATTAGATTACCGTTACTTTCCCGTAAGCATGCTGCGTTACAAAAACTGTGATTTTTTTTGCGAGAATGTCTCATGACAGTGACGTAAGCAAGTGCGACGTTCTTGACAACAGCTGTGTGCAGATCAACAATAGATAATATATCGAGTGCGGGAGAGAGTATGAGCGTGCAGCGTTTAAAGCGTGGAAGTACTGACCTTACTTTGAGTTTGATTCTATTTGAAAGAGTGAGCGTAAACACACACAAAAAAAATTATTTTATGTGCTGGAATGTGCAGAAAATAGGTTTAAATGTTAAACAAATTTCTTCCAGTCAGAGAATGTTGCATATAATTACAATTTTGCTTGATGCATAAAGTTAAAAGATTAAAACTAATAAAACAAGTTTTAAAAAGAGACTTTTCCATTTGATTACATTTTTATAATGGATTAAGATGAAAAAATAGAATTGGGCTGAAAGATCAATTGCTTTTTCAGGTTGTAAATCGTGTTTTTTAAAAAGTAACTAAGTAACTAAGTAATTAATTACTTTTGAAAATACATAATCAGTAAAAGTAACGGGATTACTTTTTGGGGGAAGTAATCAGTAATTGATTACTGATTACTTTTTTCAAGTAACTTGACCAACACTGCACTGGTTGTGCTTACTGACCTCGAATCGATTTTATGTGGTACACGGTGCACAAAAATCTGTCAAAAAATGTTTTGGTACGACTTTGGTAAGTCGCACTGCTTGATGGATTGCCAGAGCATTACGGCTGCCATAGTCAGGAGCCTCGCAGAGTAATCTGGGTCCAAAACTGTCCGCTTCAGGTCCCAAAGTCAAACGAACACTGTAGCATTGCTGAGTCTAAATTCTTTCATCTTTAATAAAATGATTAGCGTTGCTGCTTTATCAGGTGTAACAATGAAGTTTAACATCCAGGCATCCATGACAACAGAATTTATTAAATTTAACGGAGTTAGAAGGTAGCAGGAAGTTAGCTCGCTAGTTTCCAGCTAAACATGATCTACAAGAGATTTCTGTAAAGATTAAAACGTACAGCTCTGCTATCAATACCAATATAAATGAAACAGAAAACAGCAGTGACTCTTTTAGGGTTGCTGAAGTTGGGCTAGCTGGTATATAATGATGTGCTACATGACACATAACAGAGCTATGTTAGCATAACATAAACACAGTTAAGCTGAAGGATGAACGCTAACTTTTTACCAGTCACAACTCCAACACACGCCACGCTCCTTCTCATTCCACGCCACTCTCACGCTCAGGATCCAGGGAGGTAGACAAGGATAGGTCCAGGGAAATCTAAATACAAGAAAGAGGCGATTAAAACAACACAAGATCACAAGGGTAGAATAAAGGTGGGACTATATTAACACAGGATGCACAATCCAGCAACAAGAAACACTGAGCACTGCCTGAAGTAGTGGCCGGAAGAGTCAAGTTAATGAGCAGCAGGAGACTAATAGATCGCAGGTACATGGGCCAAGGGCGGGAACCTGCAATGAGTTCAGGTCTGGCAGTACAGTAAATACACACATTTATTTTTCTAAACAGTTATCCCACTTTTTAAATAACTAAAAAATCTATGACTAATTTGCACATGAGTGCTGACTCCTACACTGTAATTTAATCATCCCGGTAATGCTTATTTAAATATCCTGAGTTCCAGGTTTGCTTACTGTTTGTGTTGCTTCTTTTTGGAATCAGTGTATTTAGTCTTGTTCTTGATTCAGAATCAAAATCAGAATACTTTATTTAACTTAATTAAATAATACAGTTAATTACAAAGTTACAAAATAAATCTAAATAGCTCTAATTATAAATATACCAGTATATCACACAATTATATCTGTTTAACACTGTGGTGTCCCTCTGATCCTACTGTACTTTATTTTCTCTGTAGAGCACGTGCAAAGGGGTGTAATTATTGCAGTGGTTACTGTGCATTAGACGGAGGCGTTGTAAAGACATAATCACAGGCACTCTCCGCCTCTCCAGTACCACCCTAAGGGAGTCCAGCTCACCCCCTACAACATTACTGGTCTTGTGATCAATTTATTGAGTCTGTTGTAAATGTGAAACTGAAGGTGAAAGTATTTATGAGCTTGGAAAGTCCCTGACATTCCCTCTGGTTGTTTGTGAAATATTTTCAAAATTGACCCTTTCATGCATGAATTACGACAACCTCAATCTGGATTTTTTTCTTAAGTATTTTTATTCATCTTTAGGCATAAAAAAGATTTTTGAACTTCATTTTTTAAACATGTGCTTTTCAAATAGTTTTTTACATGTCTACTTAGGTGGACAATATACTGACCAGTGGGTGGCAGGGTATGGAGTGACACATCAGTGTCCAATGTAGTGGTTTATTTGTAAGTATACCATCAACACTGACCTGCTACACACAAACACACACACACTGTCAAACAACAGATCCACTTTCAAAGAGCTCTCTCCCAGAAACCCACCAAGTTATCAGAGACAGTTTAACAGTGAGGCTCTGCCCTCTCTGTCACTTCCACCTCTTCTTAAATTCAAAGAGTTCTTTTTACTGATGGCATGAAGCTTGCTTTAAAGTGAATTGTAAAATCTTGGGGTTGATATTGTTACAGAATCACCTTCATTACCAACTATGCCACCATCGAACTGAAACAACATAAAATTTATTGAGATAGTAAGTTGGGTGAAATAGAGATAAAAAAAAAAAAAAAAAGATCTATACAATATAGAAAACATACCTCACCCAGGCAGAAATGAGCACTTTACAGATACTTTTAAAAACATTTGAACGTCCTCTGACTTAAATTGGCGTCTCCTGCAACAACTTGCCATGCTCACATTTCAACATGGGCATCCGTCTCACTAAGGTGCACTAGCGGAACCAACATGCAGTACAATAGCTCCTACATGAGAATTTCCACAATAAATGACCTAATTACATACAAAATGTTACGGTTCAACGTAACATAAAAATGTACGAAGTGCAAAACAAAATTAGTCAACTAAAAGTATGGCACTAAAATAGTGTTTAAGCAGAGGCAGTAGACCCAGTATCCTCTGCAGACCCAAAGCTATTCAGATAATGTTGAAGTTTTTGTTTTATGTTTGGCCTATACAAACAAACCATCACTACTACACTTCATTGGGTACACCTAATGTACCTAATAGTATAGTGGTACCAGCCTGGACCTTTTCTTTTTCCTTTTTCTTTAATTCTTTGTAGATTCAGGCAGGAAACGCTCCTCAGAGATTTTTATTGGTATTCACATGACAATATCTTCCCCGTTCTTACGCTCGGTTTGGTTCTCAGTGGGCTGTTTGTTCTGTCTACAGAACTCAGTGAACACACTGCTGCATGATTGGCTGATTAGTCTAATGTCAGTAAAGTTTCTCTTTCCTGAAAACCTCTCTCATGTTTTTCTTCAGACTGAAACTGATATTTAAATTCCTTTCTGTGAACACTTCCAATAAAATGTAAAAATTTTAGAGCCTTTGTTTCCTTAATGCCTAAGCTTTAAGCATCTATGGTTGCGAGACAGTGGGACAGTGATTAAGTAAGTCTTAGTTTGATGTAATAATGATTATTATTATAATATTACATATTTGTATAACATTTTTCATGATTTTATTCTTGTGCATCAAATATAGCAAGAGAATATTGACACATTTAAATGTGTGAGGGACACTGGTGTGATCGATTAATTATATAAAACAGATCCAGCCTTTGTCCTACATTTGTAAATGTTATTTGTGATATGCTTTTTTTTAATACCTTTTATTTATATATATATATATATATATATATGTATGTATGTATATATGTATGTATGTATGTATATATATATGTATGTATGTATATATATATGTATATATGTATGTATCATATGTATGTATATATGTATATATATGTATATATATATATGCATGTGTATATATATACATGTATGTATATATATATATATATATATATATATATATATATATATATATATATATATATATATATATATATATATATATATACATATATATACATGTATATATACATATATATACATGTATATATACATATATATACATGTATATATATATATATATACATGTATATATACATGTATATATACATGTATATATATATATATATACATATGTATATATATATTTTTGTATGTATATATATTAGGGGTGCAACGATATTCGTATCGATATTGAACCGTTCGATACAGTGCTTTCGGTTCGGTACGCATATGTATCGAACAATACAACATTTGTAATTTATTTTATCAATTTTCCTTCTGACGATGCTGTCTGTGTTGAGCGCTCAGTGAATCTGTGTTCGACTACTCCGCCTAGGCTGCACTGTCGAGCGCAGATCCACTGAGCGCTCAACACAGACAGCATAGTCAGAAGGAAGAGAGCAGGGCAAGCTAGCGAGACAGAAGTTAAGCTCTACTTGCAACAGGCAAATTGAACCTCATTCAGATCTGGCGTTTGGAATTATTTTGGTTTTCATGTGACGTATGACCCTGAAGGTAAGCGAGTCATGGACTAAAGTAAAACAGTATGTTGGATGTGCCATGCAATGCTCAATTACATTGGTGTGAACTAGTGTGTTAGCGCAGTTAGCTCGTTAACGTGTTTGCCGTCTAGCCCCATGCACGGAGCGATCGGCGGTAGCTCGTTAACGGAGATTTGCCGTGTTGTGGCGTTAAGGTCATTTCAACGAGATTAACCTGAAAGCACTAGTGGGAACACAACGAATATGACTGCACATTTACGCCGACATCATCCTAGTGCAAAGACAAAAACAACAAGCATGCTACTAACTTATGGTTTCATGGACAAAAGAATTTCTGTGGCTGCAATATGACGAGCTAAATAACCAGGGCTGCACATAAGTGGTCCGCAGGTGCGCATTCGCTGTCAAAATAAAAAACACGCACAAGGGTTAGGGTTAAATTTAAAAACTGTACTTTTGAGTTAAAATATATATTTATAATTTTAATAAATGACAAATTAAAAATGCATGAACATTTTTTGTATCGAAAAAATATCGAACCGTGACACCAAAGTATCGAACCGAACCGAACCGTGAATTTTGTGTATCGTTGCACCCCTAATATATATATATATGTATGTATATATATATATATATGTATGTATATATATATATATATATATGTGTGTGTGTGTATATGTATATATATGTGTATATGTATATATATGTGTATATGTATATATATATATATATGTATATATACCTACCTTAAAAACAGTGCCTGCAGTGAGCAGAGCATGTGATCAGTCTGGTCTGTGGGCTGTTCCTGTCTGTGCTGTGATTGGTCAGCCATAAAGAAGAGGACGTTCCAATATTCAAAGAGCTGCAGTAAAGTTGAATATAAGGCTGTCCTCTACAGCCTGTCTGAGCTTTTTGTAATGAAGTCTTCATCTTTGATTGGTTCTCTGCCTCTCCTGCTCCACCTGAACTATGTTGTCCCTCTCTTCACTGTTCCAGCCCAACTGTGATCCAATCAGCATTCGGCTGACACACAAGTGAGCTGTGTCCAGTGACCTGCAGCTGGATTTTGGACGAAGGCACAGGAGAACATCTGTGGTGTGTGACACCTTCTCTAATGTCTTACTGACATTAGACTAATCAGCCAATCTTTGGCGCCAAAGAAAAACGATTACAGGTCACCAGAGAACTTCAATCTATACCTCTAAAAACCACAAACCAGGCGAGAAATTTGGGTGTAGTGATGGATGCAGACCTAAACTTAGAAAAACACATTAAGACAATAACAAAGTCAGCTTACTATCACCTCAAGAATATTTCAAGGATAAAAGATCTGATGTCTCAACAGGACCTGGAAAAACTAGTCCATGCATTCATCTTTAGTAGGCTTGATTACTGTAACAGCATCTTTACAGGTCTACCTTTTTTTTTTTTTTTTTTTTTTTTTGCCTGTCCCGTTTGGCTCTTTTGCCATCAGAATTGTTGTTTAAAGGCAAAGAAAGATGCCCAACGGATTTACTTTACCAAATTGACCATCCCAGCCTTGCCGTGATGGTCCATTTGATTCACCTTTTATTGTTTATTTTATTTTCACTTACTGAATACGGGACAGACTTGACTGGGGGAAAGAAGGGAGAAAGAAAGAGGGAAAGAGAAACAGCTGAGAAGAGGGATGGGGGAGAAGGGCAAAAGACAAAAACCAACAGAATGAGCAGAAAAAAAAAAGAAGAAAAAAAAATGCATATATTGATCACCTGGGTCACCTGCTGAGAAAGAAAAAAGAAAACAAGCAGAAGAGAACAAGAGTAATAGAATAAACAACATCACAATGATATATGGGAATATGACAGTAAATACTAAATATTAAACATTATTGTGCAGCACATAAGATCAACAGAACACAGTGTGCTTTGAGGTAGGAGCCAAAAAGGGTGTAGTTTGTGGGTGTGATCACCCGTGTGTACACCTGTGAGCATGGACGCGCTTGTTTTTTTTGTTTTTTTTAAAAGGTTCCTTCATGTAATGATCTGCTAGAGGGTGTGGGGGGTCCACAGCCCCGTCCTCCAGGGCATGAAGCAGGTATGGAGGAGATCAAAACTCCAGACATCCAGAGGCCCCCAGAACACAAGAGACCAAGGAAGACCAACAGAGGGGCAGCCGCGCCACTGTCCCAGAAAGAGCTGAGGAGAGTCCCAGATGAGGGCTCACTCAGCAGCCGCGGAGCAGAAGCCAGGGGGAGTTGCAGTGACGCGCCCGTGAGCTCCGCCGGCAGCCAGCCGTGCCTGAGTGACCGAGCCCAGGCCGAGAGGCCGGGGGCACCCCACCTCCGAAGTGGCCCGAGCGAGCCCCAGGCTCCAGGCCCTATAAGCGGCCGCCAAGGAGTGAGCCGGTGTGTACCTGGACGCCCATCCCCGGACACAAAGAACCACCAACGCACCGATGTCTGAGGGAGTCCGCCACTGGCAGGGAAGTGGTGATAGGGGGAGATAGGCCTCCAAACCTTGGAGGGCCTAAGATGTCCCCAGAGAGGTGGCGCCTGACACCCAACCTGACATATAGACACAGAAATACAGGCACACACATATACAAACATCCATTCCCACCCTCATGCTCTCATATGCACTTACTCCACACTCAACCAACGTGGAGACAGACATAAAGAGACGCTGTACACACGATCACACTCCCCAAGCGTACTCTACACACCGGGTCTAGGTACCCTTGCCCCTGGAGGGGGAAACTGCACCCAGACCCAGGTGGTGTTACCCTTTTCCCTGCGGTGGGGGGAGGCAGACCGCCCCGACTCCGCAGCAGCAGGAAGGCCCCACACTCCAGACCGCAGTCGGACGGCCAACTCCTCCTCCTATCCCCCCGCTCCAGCAGGTCGCAGAGAACGGGGTGAGAGAAGACTCCAAACCTCCCTCCACCCGCTCATTGTAGTGTTGATGCATGTGTGTTCTAAGGTGCATTTAAAACCCAGGAGGGCATGGAGCTACCTGCCAGAGAGCAGCAGGTAAGCGCATGGTCCCTCCTGCTAGCCCTCAATGTCTACGTGTATTTAACATTGAGAGGTGGGCAACGACGCCAGGGGTGGGGTGTACACCCTGATGGTACTTTGGATTCCGTGTATCGTGCCCACCCCCAAGATCCTATATGTATGTGTAATGAGAGTGTGAGTAATGTGAATGTCTAAGTTGTGGGATAAAATTGAGGCAGAGGCAGCCAGAAGGGGACAGGGGGGGGTGGCCTCCTCTGCACCCTGGTGACATACCCCTACTCCAAGGTCCTGCATGTGTGGGTGGTTGTGGTGGAGCGGGAAGAGGGAGGCAGCTGGAGATGGGGAGGGAAGGAAGGGAGGGGCAAGTGACCCCTCCCTGGGGCCAGCTCCCCCGCTGACCCCAGTAGGCACCCCCATACTCCGCGACCCGCCAGGGAAAGGCGGCCCAGGCCCATCCAGACCGGGGCCCAGCGCAGCAGCGCCTCCCGGCCCCACAGAGCCCGGGACAGTCCACCCAACCCCACCACAGAGAAAACTGCACCCACCCCACCATCCACTCTTCTTCCAGACTACATAAGACAATAAACACCCAGGCTGAGATCTTCCTCCACCTCTCCTGTATCTCCCCCTCCTGCAGAGGCAGCTCCTGAGGAGAGGAAAGCTCCTGCAAGATGTGACAATCTTCCCCACCAGTTGAAGAGCCCCCCAGGTGGCTCGATGCACCGGCGGCACCCCGCTCCAGGGCTGGGCCCCCATGCACCCACCCGCCACAACCCCGGCAACACACCAACCAGAACCCAAGCCCCTGAGGCCCGGCCCGGGCCCCAGCCCAGAGACGGAGCGCCCCCAGAACCTCACGCCCATCCCGGACCCACCCAGGGGCAGCCAGGCTACCAGGTCAGTAACCCACGTCCGTCAGCACAGACCCTCCCCTAGCCCCGCTGCACGCAGCCGCGAGGAAACAGTCACCTGAGAGCCAACAGAGCCCCTAACCGGACGTGACCGCTACCCCGGGTTGAGCCCCCAAAGGAAGATGCCTCCGGGGAACCCCCCGACGCCCTAAGCCTGTCCCTACCCCCACACCAATCACAACAGTGAAGGCGGGACCAAACTATGACCCCCCACCCCCACTAGGTGATGGAGCTGATCAAAGGAGCCCAGAGCAATTGATCTGATGTGGTGGCAGAAGCTGTATCAAGACTAGGGATGGGTACCGGTGTCCGGTGCCATGATGGCACCGGTTCTGACATAAACGGTAGTAACCAGACCGAAAAGCAGCGCACATTTCGGTGCTTTATTTCGGTGCTTTTTTTTCCTGAGCTGTGATACACTTTAGATTCTAGCCAATCATTTTACGTTTCCGAGGATAGTAGGCGGGGCCAGGTACGTACGTTCTGTTAGAGCAGAGCTACAGATTAAAAATGTCCAAGGCGAAGCGGTCAAAAGTCTGGCTGTACTTCATAGCAAAATATGCAAACTCAGCAGCCTGCAACAAGTGCTTTAAGCTGATACTGTGATACTGTCAAAGGAGGTAACACCTCAAATCCGATGAAACACCTGGCGACGCATAGCGTTTTTTTTAAAAGCCCAGAAATGCGCCGTATTTGATAGCTTGCTGCGAGACCTCACACTGAGCACATCTACTGCGGGTGGGTTGCCTGTTATGCAACATCCCCAAAAACACGAAGAGGAGAGTCCTGGCCCTAGCCCTGCCAGTGTAGCAGAAATGATGACGGATGATGGTGGCAGCAGCCGTTCTTCTCTGCGTGAGTAGCTAATTTACATTGAGTAGGCTAACCACGTTATTACATTAATGCATGTAAGGTGAACTAGCAAACATCATCATAGCTACATGCGGCTGTCTTCTTGTTTGATGGCAGATACTCCCTTCACCCTGGCCAAAAAGGCTAAAATGACCAAAGAAAAAGTGGAAAACAGTTAAACATGAGAGGTTTAGGACAAAGTTTGTGTTTTTTCCATTGTTTAAGCACTGCTTCCAGCCAAGAGTGATACCATATATGCCCCATAGCTGCAGAAAAGGCTAACATTGTTATATTTTTACAAAAAACAGCTGAACATGAGAGGTTTTTGGACCAATTTTGTGTTCTCCATTCTTTAAGCACGGGTTTGAGCACCGTTTGAGCACCGGCACCGTTTCAAAAGTACCGATTTGGCACCAGTATCGGATAAAACCTAAACAATACCCATCCCTAATCAAGACTAATGTAATCTAATAGATAATTTCTATGTTGGTTAGAATTAAGATTATTTTTATTTTTCCAGTTCATGAGGACTGTTTTCTTGGCTATGCATAGGGCAGTGAAAACCATATGGGCGATATTCTTTACAGGTCTACCTAAAAAATCAGTCAGACAACTACAGCTCATTCAGAACTCTGCTGCTCGAGTCCTCACTAAGACCAAAAAAGTGGACCACATCAGTCCAGCTCTGAAGTCTTTACACTGGCTGCCTGTCCGTCAGAGGATAGACTTTAAAGTTCTGATGCTGGTCTATAAAGCTCTGAATGGTTTAGGACCAAAATACATCAGTGACCTCCTGACCCAGTATGAACCTTCCAGATCCCTCAGGTCATCTGGATCCGGTCTTTTATCAGTTCCCAGAGTCAGAACGAGACACGGAGAAGCTGCATTCAGCTTTTATGCTCCTTATATCTGGAACAAACTCCCAGAAAGCCTCAGATCAGCTGAAACACTCAGTTTATTTAAATCCAGGTTGAAGACTCACCTATTCTCAGCTGCATTTGAATAAAGCACCAAATCCACACTTTTAAGCTTAAATTTCAAAACTTACATTAACTACTGATTTTATCTACTGTTCTGATTTTATCTTAAATTTCAAAACTTACTGATTTTATCTACTGTTCTGATTTATCTGTTTTGATTTTATATACTGTTTTTTTGTTTGTTTGTTTGTTAAGTGGGTCTAGAGAGTATTTTAAATTCAGGGAATTTAAAATAGAAAGTAGCTCGTCCACAGAAGGACTGGTAGCTCCCCTTACGATAAGGGTTCAGATCGCGCGAACAGGTGTGAATGTGAATGTGTGTGTTTAGTTAGTTTGTTTGTTTGCTTGTTTTAATCAATTTTAAATCATGCTTTTTATTATGATTTTTTTTCTAATGTCTCTGTAAAGCACTTTGAATCACCTTGTTGTTGAATTGTGCTATACAAATAAATTTGCCTTGCCTTGCCTTGCCTATAATGAGACTTAAAGGTCTAATAGTATGTACCAGCCTCAGATCACAAGACATGTACTTTTGTAGAGGAAACGTCAGACTAATGAGAGAAGTGAACGATTTTCTCCTCTGTCTCTAACGTGCTCTGTGACTGAACTCTGGTGTAAAAACACATGTTTGATCTTTGCATTAAATCAACCAAACAGTCACTGACAAAAAAGTCTTTCAGCTGGGAGTTACTGTAGAGAATGCCCTCTTATTATGGAACTATATTACCCAGCAGCCCTTGTACAGTCATGTGCCAAACAGCTGAGCTGTCTGCTGTAATTTATGCTGTGACTGATCACATGAATGTAAGTCAAACTGTATCAGGATTAACATGCTTTTGTTTTCACACTGTGATATTTTTTTTACTTCAGGTACATGTTGACTCTGTGGGCTGGTTAATGGATGGTTTCTGAACCTCTGTTTGTTTGTTCCTTTGTGTGTTTAAAGCGGTTTTGAATGTTGTGTTGTGTACCTGTGGTGAGCAGAGGTGGTATTAACTGTATTCCTGCTGTATAAAGGCTGACTGGAGCTTTACTTTATTACTTTACTGAACAGACCTGTTAGTAAGGGAAACACAGATATTAATATCAAACTGTGAAAGAGAAAGAGAAGGACTGAGAGACGAGTGGGCATCTGAAGTGTGGGGATGAAGAGCTTCAGTGATGATGTGTGAGGACTCAGTAGGGGGACACACTTACTGTTGATATTTGTAAAAGTGCAGGATTTCTGCTGAGCATGGAGTTCTTCCATAATACTGAATACAGACTGGGAAACCAGATTAATGTAACATGACAACCTCAGAGAAGGTTATTTTTTAATCTCTCTAATCTATAAATACTGATGATTTAAAGTAATGGTTTTAAAGGTTGTTGTTACAGAAAGACTAAACTTTTTCTTCTACTTCCTTCATTTAAATAAGGAAGTGTGATTTATTTTTTATTTATTTATAAATTTTATTTATTTATTATTTTTTTTATATTTACATTTCTGGATGGGGAGTTTGCCAAAGAGTAAAATCTAAATAGCATAAGATGAGTCCTTTTTCCAAAAAGTACAAACTGATGTTATAAATTAAGATAGTATTCTCCAAAAGGTTGATTCTGTTCGTCTGGACGTTTTCACTGGGAGAAACATTTCGTCACTCATCCAAGTGACTTCTTCAGTCTAAGATGACTGCAGGTTTCCCCAACCTTATAAACAGTACATTTGCACAATGACTGAAAGTCATAATATGCAACAGTTTTATCATTAATATGCAACTTGTTATGACCATGTCATTAAGGTAATAATGTTTTTTGTTGTGTTCATCAGCTCGCTGATGGAAGCTGGAAAATTTAAATTCTGCACCTACAGAGAGGATAAACTCCAGGACGCCTAACTGAGAGGACGTGTGATAGGAGAAAAAATTTCCTGACAGAGGTAAAACTTTTGAGTGTTTTTTGATTCAGTTTAATACAATTTTATTTGCGCCAAATCACAACAGCAGTCACCTCATATTGTAAGGTAGACCCTACAATAATGAAACAACAGTAATCTTGTAAGTTTTATCAAGAAAACCACAATCAGATGTAATCAATACTAGATCTAATCAATATTAGTTCTGCCCTCAGAGACAAATAACTTATTGGAACCAGTGGTTAGGAACATTTAGGGTTTTATCAATAATGAGATTAAAGTTAGAGGCACTTTTAGACTTCTTATCTTGTAGATCACCAGTCCCCAACCTTTTTTGCGCCATGCACCTTTTATGCCCGACAATATTTTCACGGACCGGCCTTTAAAGTGTCGCGGATATATACAACAAAATAAAACTAGTACCGGTACTGAAAAAAAGAAGATTTATTCATAACACACGTGAAAAGACCCAGGAAAACCGAGTTAACAATAAAAACAATAACAAAATAACGCTAAAAACCGATAAAAACCCTGAAAACCATAGATTTCACACCTGAGCCTCAACTCTCGCAGCCCGATACCAAACGACTCACGGACTGGTACCGGGGGTTGGGGACTGCTGTTGTAGATGATTCTCCCAACCATCATCTACACGATCTGACAAACACTCCTTCAGCTCTACATTAGTATATCTCATCTAACATGTGCTGTTATTATGTCAGATCCCTCCACCTTTCTCATTTTAGTTACTTGCCTCCTAAATGGAATTTCTGTATTTCAGCAGCTCTGAATTAAGACCAAACATGTTTTCAATTATAGCTTTGTTCCAGTAATGTCAGGTCATATTGTCAGTATTCAAACACAGAACTGTGTAACGCTGCTGCTGCTCAGTTTCCAACAAGTATTTTAAGAGAACAGAAAGAAACTGACACAGGAACGGGAAATAAGGATGTGGATAGTTTGGTAATCAGCCAGTTATGACAGTAATATTGTCACAGTCTGGCTGTGAAGCTGACTGTGTGGAGTAAGGAGGACCCAAATGCAGACTTGCAAAACTAAAACTTGATTTTTTTTTAACAGAAAGCGAGATGTTTCTTGCAGCTGATTAAAGAGTACAAAACAAAAGGTAAAATCAATTACTACGCTAAACAAAAGCCTAAACTTAGGGGAAACTAGAAAGTAAACATGAAAAACCCTAAACTTGGAAACCTGGCAAGAATACATGGACAGCGTGAAACCTTGGAAACATGGCTTGAACATCACAGACAACGTGACGAGGACTGAATATAAACTACTTCTAGTTTATAATGTTAAACCTTCAGTTAGTTCTATATTTGTGTTTCCCAATTTAGTTTTCCTGTTCTCATTTTCTCCTTCTTGTCTGTCATGTGTATCCATTTATGTTTCCCCAGCCCGTCAAGTCTCTCCCTCTCTTTTGTGTCTCCTCGACCCCTGTGTCAAACTCACGTTTTTACATTCTACGTCTCATTATGTTTCCTGTTTTGTTTGACACGCTCACGTTCCATTGCTCGGTGTGTTTAGTTTTGCTTCCCCTGTGGCGTCAGGTTCATTTCTATCAGCTGTGTTCACCATGTGTTTCCACTCCCCTCATCCCCCTTCTGTGTATCTAAGTCCTCTGTCTCTCTTTGTTCATTGTTAGGTTGTCTGTTTTCCATGTCTTATGTTCCAGGAGTTCATGCGTCTCAAGTCCAGATTTCACAGTCACATTCATGTTCAGGGTGTTTTCATGTTTAATTTTTGATTACTCAGTTTAGGCTTTTGTTTAGCTTCACCTTTGCCCTCTGTTTTGTATCTTATCACCAGCCACAATAAATGACTTGCCTTTTGTTAAAATCAAGATTAGTTTCCATGCTTCATTTAATCTGTGTTTGGATCCCCTATTCTCTGCTCCACATGGTCTGCCAGTGTAGACCATGACACTCTCACATTTAGACCAAAGGGTTGAACTGTTAGAAAAAGAACTTGTGGTCCTGGGTTTTTGTGAACCATGGAGGGTGGAACAGCATCCCATTATAAGATAAAGACATAGGGGAACCTTTGGGTGTTGTTCTTGCTTGGTGTTCACTCTCTCTGTGGCACTGAGTATCACTTCCTTTTCCAACACACAGTAGTGTTTTGTGTATCTGCATAGCCAATTTAATTTAAAAAACAAACAAACAAAACTTCTACATCATGTTCTACGCTAGGACCAATTCTGTTTTCATTATACATGCTTCCCTTAGGCAGTATCGTAAGAAGACATAGTATACATTTTCACTTCTATGCAGATGACATCCAACTCTGTCCATGAAGCCAGATGCACCAATTAGTTAACCCTTTAAAGCCGGTCGGAGCGGGCACACTCCGTTTTGCTTAACTATTTTTAAATCCCTGTAGAACTGGAACCACGTAAGCTAGCGCAAATGATATATGCATATGAAACTGGAGGAGTTGTACTTACATCTTGTGCCATCAACTCGTCATAGGTCACGGTTTCCTTCCACATATAGCTTTGCTATAATTGCATAAAAAGAACTTACAGCAACAAAAACATAATATTCCAGAAAAACGCTTTGCCGATCTGATCAGCTGTTCATAACACTTCCTACATTGAAATAGACGTCAGCGCGAACTATCGTATGTCCATTACCTGCCCAAAACCGGAAGTGACGTCATTTTCACGGAAAATGTAGTTTTTTACTTATAGGCCTTATAAGCCTATACTGGTGTTTTTAAAAGTCATGTTTGACTTAATGCTTTTCTGAATAGTTTCTGGGATGCTTAGAATTCAAATTGCACTGCTGGAAATAGTTTCTTTTGATGCACATGCTGTTTTCTTTGCAAATTTGCATCATAGGATTGTTTTTTTGTTTTTCCTGCAGTATATAAAAATTGGTGTATCTCCAAAATAAAACTATGAAGACACTTAAAAATAAATTTACAGTTGTTGTAAACTATTTCTTGGAACTTTTTTGTATTTAAAGTTTTGAGGGATAAACCTCTTAAATTTCTCCAAGTAGAAATATATGTAAAAAACAAAAGAACAAAAACGATTTTCAATTTTTTTGTAGTTTATTGCACTTTTTTGCAATTAAAGTAGTTACTATGGACTTAATGCATACATATTATTAAAATATGGGCTATAACAGTTGTATAGCAACTTGAAATGTTCCCACAAATGGCACTACAACATGTAAAAAAATAATATAAGCTCTGGCGGACTTGGTTCTATGGTAGGTCTTAAAGGGTTAAATAAATATCGTCAAATAATTGAGATCTCAATTTCAGTGAAAATAATCGTGATTATCATTTTGCCATAATCGAGCAGCCCTAATGTTATGGTTTACTTGTTAGGTGACATATCTTTGAATATTGCAACTTTCATGAGAATAGCTTGATTAAACAAGGCAGCTACATGTGGATATCATGGTGCAGGATGGAATTCAGCACAGTGCTGGACATTTGTTTTATCTTTGTTTCCAAAATATTGTTACAACCTACCCTACCTCTGTATAATTATGATATAATAATTATAGTGTGTGCATTTTGTATGTTCATCTTTTTTTTTTTTTTTTTTTTTTTTTTTTTGATTCACCTTTTATTGTTTATTTTATTTTCACTTACTGAATACGGGACAGACTTGACTGGGGGAAAGAAGGGGAGAAAGAAAGAGGGAAAGAGAAACAGCTGAGAAGAGGGACGGGGGAGAAGGGCAAAAGACAAAAACCAACAGAACGGGCAGAGAAAAAAAATGCATATATCAATCACCTGGATCACCTGCTGAGAAAGAAAAAAGAAAGCAAGCAGAAGAGAACAAGAGTAATAGAATAAACAACATCACAATGATATATGGGAATATGACAGTAAATACTAAATGTTAAACATTATTGTGCAACACATAAGATCAACAGAACTAACACCTGGTGACACTAACAAAAAGACAGCAGGCTGAGCTGGAGCTAAAGATGCTTTCATTTTCTTGAAAGTTACTTGAATGAACAGGATTAGAAATAAGGGGTGCATATATGATGTAGCTCATAATTGGCTTGATAATTTGGATTTCAATTATTCTGGCATGTTATGGTTTACTTGTTAGGTGACATGTCTTTGAATATTGCAGCTTTCACGAGAATAGCTTGATTAAACAAGGCAGCTACATGTGGACATCATGGTACAGCACAGTGCTGGACATTTGTTTTATCTTTGTTTCCAAAATATTGTTACAACCTACCCTACCTCTGTATAATTATGATATAATAATTATAGTGTGTGCATTTTGTATGTTCATCTTAACAGAATAAAGAGGAGTCATGCAAGCATTTTTGAAAGGAGCAACAGGTCAGGCAGCCAGGCCTCAGAAAGATAAGGCAGTGGCTGGACCCAGTGCAGAGAAGAAAGCCAAGGCTGTTCCTTGGGTAGAAAAGTAGTAAGTATGACCCACAAAGGTGTACTGTACACTAGGGCTGGGCCATATCATACCGTTCACGGTAATACCGGTATAATTTTGGGCAACAATAGAAAAATTAAGTATCACGATAGAATATGGGTAAAACGCGCATGCGCAGTGCCTTTGTTTTTATTATTAAAATTTGGGCTATAACAGTTGTATTGATGTATAGCAACTTGAAATGCTCCCAAAAATGTCACTACAGCATGTAAAAATATAAAGTAAGCTCTGGCGGACTTGGTTCTATGGTAGGTCTTAAAGGGTTAAACTGCAGACATAAAGAAAGACATACAGACATAAAGACCTGGATGACCGTTAACTTTCTGCTTCTTAATTCAGATAAAACTGAGGTTATTGTATTCAGCCCTGAAAATCTGGGAAATATGGTATCTAACCAGATTCTGGGTAGCATTACCTAGGCTTCCAGTAACGTTGTGAGAAACCTTGGACTCATTTTTGACCAGGATATGTCCTTCAATTCACATATTAAACAAATATGTAAGACTGCTTTCTTCCATTTGCGCAACATCTCTAAAGTTAGAAATATCCTGTCTCAGAGTGACGCTGAAAAACTAGTTCATGCATTTATTACTTCTAGGCTGGGTTAGGGTCAGGATGTCCAAAAAACTCCCTGAAAAGCCTTCAGTTATCTCAAAATGCTGCAGCAAGAGTACTGACGGGGACTAGAAAAAGAGAGCATATTTCTCCTGTTTCGGCTTCCCTTCATTGGCTTCCTGTTAAATCCAGAATTGAATTCAAAATCCTGCTCCTCACATACAAGTATTAAATAATCAAGCCCCATCTTATCTTATTGACCTTATAATCACCCCATTAGAGCACTTCACTCTCGCACTGCAGGCTTACTTGTTGTTCCTAGAGTATTTAAATGTAGAATGGGAGGGAGAGCCTTCAGTTTTCAGGCCCCTCTTCTGTGGAACCAGCTTCCAGTTTGGATTCAGGAGACAGACACTATCTCTATTTTTAAGATTAGGCTTCGAACTGTGGAAAACCTGGAACACTACCAGGTCACTGGTTTATGTATGTGGATGACACCTCTCATCATCCACTGGAGCACAAACTGGTTGCCACCATGGCGCTAAAACACAGAGTGAATAACATCCCCACAGACAGAGTAGCCAGGGAAGCAGAAGAACATTATATCAAGAAGGCACTGAGTCAATTTGGTTATCCCAGCTAGACAAAGCTGGTAAGCCACCTAAAGAAAGCTCCAGGTGATACAGGAGAGAAGGACAGCTGCTGCCTACGAAAAAAACTTAAGTGATCCCTTATGTGTCGGGAGAATTGGAATAGACGCATTTTCTCTAAACACCGCATCTTTGCAGCTTTTAAACCCCAAAACACTCTGCGCCCCAAGAATCGTGTGTCCCCCAGAGTCTAGTGACTTGAGGTGAAGTGTCTGCTTCACACTCCTGCCCACAAACCCACTGAACGTGACCGTGAACCCGCCCCCTACACTTTTGACGTATTCCGGCTGCTCCAGTTTATCTGCTGACGGGTTTACTGCAGCTGTCGACTCATTGAATTAAGCTAAATACAACCATGTTACTATTACGAAAAAGACACACAGCTTAACATCTTATACTTCTACAACATCTAAAATCACTCTGTTGTTAACTTGTTTGCTACATTAGCCTCTAGCATGCGCTGTGTTAGAGGCTCCTTGCTAGCTAGTTAGCAATGCTGTTCCTCTCAATGGCTGTATCCCAATTCAGGGTCTGCAGCCTTAAAGGCCGCATTTTAAGGCCGATTACGTCACAGCGTCACGACGAAGGCTGTCCCAATTCAAAGGCTGCTCGAAATGCAGCCCTCAAATGCGTCCTTCATTTCCCTGAATTTTAAGGATGTGTCAGTCGCAAACAAATTCTTCTTAGAGCCGGATCTTTGAAGTGAACGAGGCGAGCTGGCTCCTTATAGCGAGCCGTGGGTTTTTTTTCTTTCTCTCACCCTCTCTCTCGAACTTTTTTTCTGCTTCACTCCCCACGCGAGCCTTGTGCTTTGCGCTGGGCAGAGGGGGAAGGGCAGTAGTTACACTCGCAGTAGCTCGGGAACAGAACAGGAGGGAGAGACAGAGAAAGAGAGCCAGGGACAACAACGTCACATTAGAAAGGTACAGAAGAGGATTAGGGCCACAGGAAAAAAAATCTGAGAAAAAAGTCAGAATTCTGAGATTAAAGTCAGAATTCTGACTTTAATCTCAGAATTTTGACTTTAATCTCAGAATTCCTACTTTTCTCTCAGAATTCAGGAAAAGAAGAAAAAAAAAGACATGCCCACTTTTTTTTCCCCAGTGGCCCTAATCCTCTTCCGTAGAAAGGTATTCATCCACAACTATTTTCAGTTGCAGATGATAAAGGATTCAGAAAGTTTATTCATGCAGGCCCATATGACAAAGAATATGCATCTTCTTTTTGTTTTCATATTTTAATTTATATTTAATTATGTTGTGGTTTGCAGTGTTTTGTGTTGTTTCACTTTGAATTTGTTTAAAAAGAAAAAGCTGAAAATTTAAATAGTTAAAAGTTGAACTGTGAATAGTTGTTTTTTGTATTATATGATTTATTTATTACATTTTATGTGGAGTGCATAAATAAAAGTATGTTTACGGTGGCACCAAGAGACAAAGCATGTACAAACTCCAAAACACGTAAAAACTCCATAGCACATACAAAGTCCGAAACAGGTAAAAATTTGTGATGTGCGGATCGATCCTGAAATATCGATTCCTCCGATACCAATCATTTATGTTCTAGAATCGATTCTCACATTAAAATATCGATATTTTAGTAGTTTAGAGTAAATTTGTAGTTTATCATTAACAGGAACACAGTGGAAAGAAACTATAACATTCAGATTGTCTACATTCAAAGGCACTACTTCCTCTTCCGCCTTTCATAGTCATGTGCTAAATACGGCTGTATAAATGTCTCGCAGCCGCTGTCTTGTGCACTCACGACAATGGCTGAGCGTAATTGGAGTAATTTGCGGACATATTTTACATCCACAAACAGCCGAGACGTGGTTTGCGATACATGTGGCAAAAAGTGAGGTGTTGTGGCCATACTTGCCAACCTTGAGACCTCAGAATTAGGGAGACATTCAAAAAGGCTGTTGGGGGGTTGATAAAATTTTTTTACAGTGTTTATTTATCGGATAAAATACGTTAAATGTCACCGGAAACAGCGGGGGTGTCCAAATTCAGAGGCTGCTTCCACCTGAGACTCTGCTCCTTGCTATCTAAAATATAACAGGGCACTGACTTAAACTCTCGACCGTCTCACACTTCTGATTAAACAGTTTTCTGTTTGACGTTTATTCAGCTGTGTGAAAACCCCGGAAGAACCCTCTCGAGGGATTAATGAAGTTAAATTTAATTTAATCTAATAACTTTATTCTCAGCCAAACCGATTTACTCACGAACAAATAAAACACTGAAAAAGCCAAACAATAACATTTTTAAGTTATCAAAGTGACTTATATATCATGTTTAACCCGAGTAGTGAAAGACCGGGGGGGTTTGAAGACGATGTGTCGGTCGGTTCAGATATTTGAAGTTTACACAGCTACATTCTCGCCTGAAAATATGTTAAAAGTTTTTTTTTTCGACCCAGAAAGTGAAATAAGAGTAATATTAAAACTAAGTATCTGGAAACTGGAATAGGCTGGGCCGAGCTATGAATTTTGCGACATGGTTTTGTCGTCCAGGTGGAAAATCGGGAGAATGGTGGCTCCAGGAAATTTTCGGGAGGGGCACTGAAATTCGGTATTCTTCTGGAAAAATCGTGAGGGTTGGCATGTATGGTTGTGGCAACATCACTAACTTCGTCAAACACCTCAAAGTAAATCATATCACAGAATATGATGAGCGTAGGTTGAGGCGAACTGAAGAGGAGGAGAGGGACAGGTGCTGCTAGGGTGAGACAGACGTCCCTCACGGAGTCCTTTAGTGCTGCAGGCAGGCAAGGTGGTCAAATAGCACAACTTCATTTTTTTTTTATTTCTATATGGTGAACTCTGCATTATTAAGTGATAAGAACAAGAAATCTGATGTCCTGTAATCATTATTATGCAATAACTTGAGATCCAATAAATAAAATACATTTTTGTACAAAGTATCAGTATCGGATCAGTATCGTCACCCTGAATATTACTTGGTATCGGATCGGAAAGGAAATCAGTGGTATCGCACATCACTAGTAAAAATTCAGAAGCACATAAAAACTCCAAAACATGTACAAAAGACAACAGAAGTGCTCCAAGATGCTAGGCATAGTGTTGAGCTTTTGTTACCTAGTGGCTACACAGGCCAGGAAGGTACCAACAACCGAATTTGGTGTGTGGTAGTAACAGGTAAATGAACTTTTTTAATTATTTGAATATATATGAGTGCTTGTGTATAAATACTAGAGATGGACCGATCCGATATTGCTTATCGGTATCTGTCTGATACTGACATAAATTACTGGATCAGTAATAGTAGAGAAATAAAAAAATGTAATCCGATCCATTAAATATCAAAAAAGCACCTCACATAACTTGCGACACAGCGTAACTCGGCCCATAACCGTAGCACGTCGGAGCAGTGTGCTGACATGATAGAGCAGCTGTGTGTATTTGGAGCCTTGCTACCAAACCGGCATTTCATCTCCGAGGAAGTTATCCCAGAGAGAAGTAAAGCAAGTGTGTAAGTTCATCTCTGAATGTTTGTAAAGCATTCCCACTTTAAGTTTAACAACCGATATATGGAGCGACTGCCTCTTCTCTCCCCCTCCCTCTCCTGTTGCGACTTCAGTCATGAAACGGAATTAATGATCAGCTGATCGGCTTTTCTGTCGCGAGTCCGTCTCTCTTCTTTGTTTTTGGCCCACTTTGCACCAGAAAGAGGAAACCAGCGGCTGAACAACAGCAGCACGTTTAAGCTTGATAATCTGTTGTTAGAATTTATTTAATATTAAGTTCTA